AAAAAAAAAAAAACTTATTATAAGCAAGCTGCAGAATGGTACCTAAAAAGCATGTTTTCCTTTGTGTAGAAAGGAGGAGGTTATATACACACTCACACATATGCTGTCACATGCATGGAACCTTTTTGGAATACACAAATGAAATGGGAATGCTGGTGCCTCTAGGGAAGGAGACTAAGAGCCCAGGCCTAGGGAAGAAAGGAAACTTCAATTTTACTGCATTTCTTCTTGGTCATATTTAGCAAGTTAATGCATGAGGTAGTAAAAAACTTAAGTAAAAAAATAATTATTAAAAAAAAAGTGTGCTGGCCGGCCCCGTGGCTTAGCGATAAAGTGCGCGCACTCCGCTGCCAGCGGCCCAGGTTCGGATCCTGGGCGCGCGCCGACGCACCACTTCTCCGTCCATGCTGAGGCCGCGTCCCACATACAGCGACTGGAAGGATGTGCAGCTATGACAGACAACTATCTACTGGGGCTTTGGGGGAAAAATAAATCAATAAAATCTTTAAAAAAAAAAAAAAGTGTGCACTGGGGCCAGCCTGGTGGTGCAAGCGGTTAAGTGTACGCACTCCACCTCCGCGGCCCAGGGTTCGCAAGTTTGGATTCCCAGCGCGCACCGACGCACCTGCCAAGCCATGCTGTGGCGGCGTCCCATATAAAGTAGAGGAAGATGGGCACAGATGTTAGCTCAGGGCTGATCTTCCTCTCACACACAAAAGTGCACCCCACAGTAACACAAATCATAATTTGGGTACTCCTTGGTTGTAAAAGAAACTTAAATGCTATCTCACTTTATAATAAAGTAATTAATTTTAAAGCCTTTTAAATAACACACACGCTTAAATTTCAACTATCTGAAATCACAATTCATCTGAATCTCTTATACTAGTGACTATTACATTATTTAGACCCACAAAACAAATCATATTTTAACAAATAACATACTAATTAGACTTCTACTGAGCAACTAGAAAGGTTAGGATTTTAAGCATTCTGACAACATACTGATAAAATAAATGTTAAATTCATAACTTTCTGATACATATTTTATAATGCTCTGACTTACCTGGTGGTTGGTCTTGACTTATGTTTAACTTGGGTTCATTTTCCAAGTGTGAATCTGATTTTGGTTTTGGTTTCAAAGAAGGGAAGAACTTCATCATCAGATCCGAAGTAGGAGGAGGACTTGGGCCCCTACTGGAATTGTTCAAGTCTTCTCCCTTCTTGACTGGGGCAACCTTCCTTTTTATTGTTTTGTCTAATACACACATTTCACTCTTGTTAGGGTAGGTTATCTGGGGAGTCCCATAAATGGCTTCATTCCCAAGAATAACATCATGTTTAAATGAATTCTCTTCAAGGTCGGTCCAAGTTCTTTCATCATCAAAGTCAATTTTACTCATCCTTATAGATGAGGGTCTTCTTGAGGACTCAGAAACTTTATTTTTCAAGCTTTCTGTTATGATAGACTCATCACTACTATAATCTTTATCAGACAAATCTAAATCAACATCTCTCCTTTTATCATCTCCTTGAGTCCCAGTGTCCCTAAAAGGTCCCTTACCATCACAGACTTGTGGACTATCCTCTCTGCTGCTGAAACCCCTTTCTTTATCCTCCATTGATAGTTTTATGGTAACATCAAGTTGTTCCTCAGAGTTAGTGCTACTGTCACTGCTCATAAGACCTTCATCATCACTTGCATTCCATCTAGTTTGACTTTCAGAAGTGCTCACTTGGAAGGCTTTCATACTGACTTGACACGACTGTTCCCTCAATCCATCAGGTGAGGGTACTGAATCAAGCTGTTTGGGTGCGACTTCACACTCACCCTTATTTTCACGTTCAGGACAGTCTGGATCCTCATTTTGGTTACACTGACTAATGGGATCCAATGTCATTTTCTCCTGTTGCACAGCTTTGACAGGGGTAGAAGACAGCCGGCGACCTTTACAGATCTGTTGGTCCCTCTCTAAGATCTTCAGTACAAACGAGGAATTACTGGAAAACGATATTTCATCAGCAGCTTGTTCTAAAAACAAAAATTCATCTAATTCCAAGTTTTCCTTTTCCTTTTCTCGTTCCCAGTTCTCTAACTTTTTCTGAAGAGAAATGTCAAGAGAAGTTTCTGACTCTCTCAAGGTCTCACTTATCAGGCTCTTAGAAGCCATGCAGCTGACCAGCCCTGTCGAAAAGGGGAGTCTGTCTTTACCTTCTGTTTTATTCCAGACTTTGCAACCAATATCACAAGATTTTGTAGACTCAGGTACATTTTCTTTATTATTAGATTCTACTTTTTTTCCTAATTTGATCTGGTCCCTAAATTGCCCATCACATTTCTTCCCTGCTGGTATTTTCCCTCCTGATGGAGACAGACTTTTCCTATTACTCTTAAGCACTTTTGGCTTTTGACTGAGTGTGAAAGAACCACTTTTGGTTCTAGATTTATTGTTCTTTTTAACAGAAAGGTTCTGTACACACAGTTCTTTATTTATAAGAGCAGTTTTCCGCTGGAATTGTTGTCTATCTATTTTAAACACAGGTTGGTCCTCTGAAATGCTCTGATTAGTCACTAGTTTACTTTCTCTCCCTTTCTGAAACTTAGATTTAGCATTAGTAAATCTAGCTAAACCTTCTCCTCGTTTTAAGAACGGTTGTTTTGGTTTTGCTTTGATTAGCAATGATCCTTCTGTTTCCTAAAATAAAAAAAAAAATACTTGAATTATTTCTACTATATCCAAGTAATCTCAGAAGTTATTTTTAAAGCAAATTACAAATAAATCTGTAAAGCCTTAGATAATTTAACCAAAATAGTGGAAATGCTAACCCTTAGCTGTTTTTGTTTCAGTTCTTGTTCTTCCAACCGAATTTGTTCTTCTAAGTAGTCTTCAAATGTCTGTTTCTTTTCTCTAATAGCAGCTTTAATAGGCCTAATTATAAAAATAAAGGTATTTAATATGCAAATCATGATGTGGTGAATATTTTACACTTAGTGTGCCTGATATAAACACCCCTGACTACACTGAGAACTAACCTTTTTCAAAGTCACAGACCCCCACTGAGAATCTAATGAAAGCTACAATCCCACTCTATCTCCCAAAATACAGATATATACAACGTTCCACATAAGATTTGGAAAAAATCCTTTTGAAGTCCATCTATTGACCTTAGATTAACTTTTGAAGTAACATATTTATTACATAACTTCAAAATATATTTCAGAAATAGTTCATTAAATACATATTCTTTAATTAAGATCCTTAACAATGTAAATAGAGCAACAATCAAAAAAGTCATTTGTCCATCCATAATGTATATTAAAACACTTCAAATATTTAAGAAAATCATAAACAATCTCAATACTGATATTTTATCTATGTCATAAAATTTTTAAATTCTGTGACCAGACTTCTGCAATTATAATTTATAAGTAACACCAAATGTGAGAGTCCAATATTTAATTTGGTTTTCTCTTTTCCAAAATAGGATTTACTTATTTGAGAGAAGATTAATTTTATCCAGATATTTCTTGTAGGTGAAAAAACTTGGCTCAATTCTTCCAATACAATGTCAAAACTACTTTAATTGATGTCTCTCCCCAACTTCTTTCTGTTCCTGATAGTATGTGACAAGCTGTATCTTCAACCTTATACGTAAAAGCATATTCAAGCAAAAACAAGAAAACTATGGATCTTTCAAACAAAGAAAGTGCTCAATAAAAATGGCTGGCTATTATATTAAACTGCCACATTTCTTATTCCTTTCAATATGGATGATACCTTTCTTCAATATTAACCACTTCTGAGGAATCACCAATTTTTTTTACATTTGTATCGTTCCCTTCCTGAATCTGTTCCGTCATTTTCTCCCAACATGGTAAAATACCTTCTCCTAGGGAAAAAATTAGGAACAATTTAGTTAAAAAAAAAAGCAGATTAAAGCCTTAAAACTTGAGAATTTTACAAGTTACCATGCTAAAAAAAATATTTAGTTAAAAGTAATGTATGCCAATGATTTTAAAACTCACAAGGATTTCTTTAATATGATAAACTACGAAAACTTAATTAAAACAAGACATTCTTAAAAAGGTTAATGTTATGAAAAAAAATGTAGGCTTTTCTAAATTAAAAATACTAAAGCGTTACAATTGAATGTAATACATGATCTTGCTTGGATCCTGATTTTTTAAAAAAACATCTTTAAAAGACATTTTTGGGATAATAGGGGGAATTCTAAAATGGATTTGAATATTAAGGAAGCATCGTTAATGCCCCTAGGTATGATAATAGTATTGTGGTTATATAGAAGAATGTCCTAATTTTTACTTGACATGGGCTTAAATACTTGAAATTATGTAACATAATGTCTGTACATTACTTGCAATGAAATAACTTAGCAAATTATATATATGTGCAGATAGAGATATAGATATAGGTATAGATATAGATATATATACACACATACAAACATATATAGACAAAGTAAATACAGCAAAATATTAACTGTTGAATTTAGGTGGTGGGTATACTTGGTAATCCCTGCAGTGGTCCTTCAGCTCTTCTGGATGTTTGAAATTTTCCAAAATAAAAGATTAGGGTAGTGTATTCTTTAAAAAATGAGAAAAAAACATTTGACCTTTCTATACCAAAGAATATCTGTAAAATAGGAATAAGATATTATGCACAAAGGTACCCAATCCTAAGTAGTAAGTATAGACACCTTTTGTCATATTATTTGCATTTTCCTATAACTTACTCAAAAGAATAGATTCACAAAAACACTATTAAAATTGAAAATTAAATTAAAATTCAAAATACTAGAAACAACTCAGTCCTACCACAAAGAACATTAAATACTGATATATTATTGACCACTAGCATAATGATGACAACCATTAAAATTATGGTTATGAAGACTACAGAACATACCATAAGCATTTTCCATGTTGAATGGGAAAAGAATACAATTTAGTAAGCAATAGTCTATGATTATAAAATGTGAAAAAAAGAGGGAAGGTGCACAGAAACAGAACTTAAAGAAAAAAAAAGACCAGAAGAAAATATACCAGAATTGCAACAAGAGCTCCATGAGTTCAGACATCAGATACTGAGGGCCAGTTCTCTGGCAGGAACAGACTGGATACTGGGAATACAGAGGTACAGTGAAGACAAACCAAGTCTCTGGGTTGGGAGGATTTCTTTTATGAGTAATAACTCCATCACCAACCTATTTCTCAAATTTCACAACTTCTATCAAGTGCCCAACCACTACCACACACATTTTAAGTCAACCTCAAACTATTTCTAAGCTTTCAAAGAAAAATGGTACAGGCAGAACTCGTTGCCTCCCTTTTTGAAGACCCCATACTACCATGCAAGGTTTAAAGTCAGCATGAATACTGCGCTTGTTCTTAGAAAGTCACAAATTCTATGTCGGCTTCTACACCCAAACCAGGCTCAGTGGCTATGCAGCATGTAGGACCCCACAATTAAAGCAGAAGGGAACAGGAAAAAAATGCAGAAAAAAGTTTGCTTGTCTTAGGACAACTTGGTAACACTGCTAGTTAAGTAGAGGAGAGAGAAATATGTATAAGTAACCCACCAATAGGCTGGTTTTGGTTTTTTTCCTTCAAATCATTTTTTTTCACAAGCACTTCTTGATACCGTCCGTGCCTCCTAAAACCAATTGGGAGAAGCACCACTTTTTGAAGTTAAGACCAAATCTTGATGAGTAGTTCTATAGAAGCTGTTTTGTTCATTAGCTAAAATGTTGGACATGTGTGTTTTTTCTTGGGTTTGATTGTGGTAGATACATGAAGATAAGGGTGTGGTTTTCTCTACAGTGGTTGAATTTCCTAGAGATCTGTACTTCTGGCTCTGATCATCAGGAAGTAGAGTTAAACCTTTCAATTAAGAAAACCAACAAAGCTGACGACTTTAACATTTTTCTTCTGCCTGTCAGTGACCACTACCACAAAGTTTTCTCCAAAGTGATAAAAGTATTTTTTTCTTCCTTTAACAAGGAAACTGCGTTTAACAAAATCATGAAATTTTAAAATTCCAAAGTGACCCTTGCATAATTTTAATTAAAAGTATACTTATACTACGATTCATGTGCAGACAGTGTGTACATGGCATAGATGCAGCACAGCCTCATTCTGGAAGGCACCATTCATGCTCCATCTATGCAAAGGACTGCTGGAGTTGCCAACTCTGCAGACCCATGACCAACACAGATAGAGCACCAATGCAAATAGTTACAAATGATCTGAATTGTTCCCTAGTGATTGATAACTGCTCTGTGTCACAATGTATAAAAATATCTTCCCTTTAGAACACCGTTAACATTTTGGTATCCTCAGGTGGTGAAATTATGGGTGACTTTTCTGTTTTGTACTTTTCTGTAGTTTCTAAATTTCCTGTATTACTTTTTGTCCATTTTGTTTCTTAAGTCTCTGCTTTTAAAACAAATAAACAGAGAGAAGATTCTCCTTCTATATATCTCTAAGATACAATTCTTGGGGGCAGATGGCAATATGAGCCATCCTACCTGCTACAGCAGCCCACTGAAATCCTGCTACTATCCCTCTGTTCTCCCAGATTGTCTCAACTAAATTTAAAAGTGAAGACACAATGGGAAGTGTTAAAAGCCAGGCCACATATCTCTTATACCTAACCACCTCACCCCTAGCCCACAAATAAAACTGAAATCAGGTAGGTCCTAACTGAATATGAGGTTCGACTTCCCTTCCTTTATAACAATACTCTCCTCATCTAAACATTTTTGACTAATGGTCATCTCACTTCAGCTGAAAGACATCTTAGATAAAAGAGCAATATCCCAAAGTAGCAGTTCTCAAAGTGTGGTCTATAAACCCATGGAGGTCTCCAAGATTCTTTCACGGCATCCACCAGGTCAAATCTAGATTCATAAAATATTAAGATAGGTGACGTGAGCACCACGGCGGAGTGACCTTTCCCTGTAAACTCTCCCCGGATAAGATACAACAAAAACGACATTCACATACCAACAAAGGACACTCACACAACACAAAAGTACGTCTGAGAGACCCACACAGCCAGAGACCTGAGAGTGGACGTGCTGGAGCCCCCAGAGGAAGTGGGGAGAGGTAAGGAGAAATCCTCCCCCTCCCCATCGGAACGGCATCTCTGGGTCTGCGCGGCTCCCAGAGAGGGGGGAGATGCGGGCCTCTATGGGAAAACTGTCGCTCTCCAAATTCTCTCACAGCCTCTTGGAAATTCTCACACAGAGGAGACAGAATAGTAGCCGGGGTATCGTCAACATCTGAGGACCCAAGGAGAGCAGATACTGAGGGAAGAACGAGAAGCCCCCCAAGAGTGAGCACGAAAAGAGAGACGCCCCCCTCCCCCCCGCACACCCAGCGCTTCAGCAAAAGCGTCTGGCAAGAGAGCTCAACAATCACAGCAGGGTCAGAATACACAGGCCTTGACCCCCACCCAGTGGCGGCAGGTGGAAACTGCAACCAGATATTTTTAGGATGAGGAAAAAACAAGCCAACATCAGCAGGCACGATGCAAAAATATATTAAATCTCCAGACCAGAAGGAAAATGACAAGCACCCAGGAATCAATCCTGAAGGCACAGAAATTTATAAGCTAAATGACAGAGAATTCAAATAGCTATCATAAAAAAGCTCAACGAATTACAAGAAAACACATACACAATTCAATGATATCAGGAATTTCTTCACAAAAGAGATTGAAACCACAAAGAAAAACAAACCAGAAATGTTGGAGATGAAAAATGCAATGGTGAAGATAAAGGAAAATCTGGAATCTTTAAAGAACAGAGCTGACAATATGGAGGAAAGAATTAGCATTATTGAGGATAGGAATGCAGAAATGTTCCAGATAGAGGAAGATAAACAACTAAGACTAAAAAGAAATGAAGAAATTCTCTGAGAACTATTTGACTCAATTAGGAAATGCAATATAAGGATTATACATATTCCTGAGGGAGAAAACAGGCAAAAAGGAACAGAGAGCTTGTTCAAGGAAATAATAGCTGAGAACTTCCCATCTGGGGAAGGAGCTGGAAATACCAGTGAATAAGACAACAGATAACCTAAATATATCAACAGGAAAAGACCCACTCCAAGGCATATAATAATAAAGCTGGCAAAAGTCAATGACAAAGAAACAACATTAAGGGCAGCTAGACAAAAAAAATAATGTACAAAGGAATTCCCAACACTCTCTCAGCAGATTTCTCAACAGAAACTTTACAGAGTAGGAGCGACTGGAATGATATATTCAAAACTCTGAAAGATAAAAACTTTCAGCAAAAATACTCTATCCAGCAAAAATATCCTTCAGATATGATGGATAAATAATAACTTTCCCAGATAAATGAAAGCTGAGGGAGTTCACTGCCACAAGACTCCCACTACAAGAAGTGCTCAAGAAGGTCCTCACATCCGAAAATAAAAAGAGAAGGGGATACAAAGGTTTGCGCAAGGAGAAAAATAGGCAGAGAAAATAAAAAAAATAGCAGCTCTCTATCAAAATAGGTCAGCAAACACTTAATTACCAAAATCAAAGATTAAGGGAAGGAAAACACCAAAAATAAATATAAACTCATCACTTTAAACACAGACTCACAACACAAGAGGGAGTAAGTTGTGACAATAATAACTTAGAAGGGGAAGAGGAAAGAGACCAAATAGATTTAGTCTAAGGAAATAAGAGGTCATCAGATCATATATAGACTATCTTATCCATGAGATTTTTTTATACAAACCTCATGGTAACCACTAAACAAATAATCAGAACAAACACACATATGATAAATAAAGAGAAAACTAAAAGAATCATCATACAGAACTACCAAATTGAATTGGTAGTCTGAAATGAAATACATGGGACGAGAAACAAAGGAAAGGCAAAAGAACCAGAAAATGAACGAAAAAATAGGCAACATTAAGCCCTCATATATCAATATCACTCTAAATGTAAACACATTGAATTCTCCTATCAAAAGACACAGAGCAGAGGGATGAATTAAAAAACAAGACCCAACAATATGCTGCCCCCAGGAAACACATCTCAGCTCTAACGATAAACAGGGGCTCAGAGTGAAAGGATGGAAGACAATACTCCAAGCTAATGGCAAACAAAAGAAAGCAGGTGTTGCCATACTTATATCAGACAAAGTTGACTTCAAGATAAGAAAGGTGATGAGAGACAAAGAGGGGCAAACTATAATGACAAAAGGAACACTCCACCAAGAAGACATATCAATTATAAATACATATGCACCCAACACAGGAGCATCAAAGTACATAAAGCAACTACTAACAAACCTAAAAGGAGATATTAACACCACCACAATAATAGTAGGGGATCTTAATACCCCACTTACATCAACAGATAGATCATCCAGACAAAAAGTCAATAAGGAAATAGTGGACTTAAACGAAAAACCAGAGAGATGGACCTAATAGACATATACAGAGCACTCCATCCAAAAACAGCAGACTACACATTCTTCTCAAGTGTGCATGGAACTTTCTCAAGGATAGACCATACACTGGGAAACAATGCACGCCTCTGTAAATGTAAGAAAATTGAAATCATAACAAGCATCTTTTCTGACCACAATGCTATGAAACTAGAAATCAACTACAAGAAAATAACTTGGAAAGTGACAAAGATGTGGAGATTAAACAAATGCTACTGAACAACCAATAGATCACTGATGAACTTAAAGGAGAAATCAAAAAATATCAGGAGACAAATGAAAATGAAAATACACCATACCAAATCATATGGGACGTAGCAAAAGCAGTCCTGAGAGGGAAACTCATAGCAATAGAGGCCCACCTTAACAAACAAGAAAAATACCAAATAAGCAACCTTAAACTACACCTAAAAGAATTAGAAAAAGAACAAAGCTCAAAGTCAGCAGAATGAGAAAAATAATAAAACTCAAAACAGAAATAAACGAAATTGAAACCAAAAAAAGAGTAGAAAGGATCAATGAAACAAAGAGCTGGTTCTTTCAGAAGATAAACAAAATTGACAAACTCTTAGTCAGACTAAGAAAAGAAGGGAGAATGCTCAAATAAATAAAATTAGAAATGAAAAAGGAGAAATTACAACAGATACCACAGACATAGAAAAGATTATAAAAGAATACTATGAAAAACTATATGCCAACAAGTTGGACAATCTAGAAGAAATGGATAAATTCTTAGACTGATACAACTTCCCAAAACTGAACCAAGAAGAAATAGAGAATCTGATTAGACCAATCACAAGTAAAGAGATTGAAACAGTAATCAAAAACCTCCCAAAAAATAAAAGTCCAGGACCAGATGGCTTCTCTGGAGAATTTTACCAAACATTCAAAGATTTAATACCTATCCTTCTTAAACTATTTCAAAAAATAGAGGAAGATGGAACACCTCCTAACACATTCTCGGAGGCCAATATCACTTAGATACCAAAGCCAGACAAGGACAATACAAAGACAGAAAACTACAGGCCAATATCGCTGATGAACACAGATGCAAAAATCCTCAACAAAATATTGGCAAACTGAATACAGCAATATGTTAAAAAGATCATACACCATGACCAAGTGGGATTTATACCAGAGACACAGGGATGGTTCAACATCTGCAAATCAACCAAGTGATACACCACATTAACAGAACAAAGAATAAAAACCACATGATCATCCCAATAGATGCAGAGAAGGCATTTGACAAGATCTAACATTCATTTATGACAAAAACTCTCAACAAATCGGCTATAGAAGGAAAGTACTTCAACATAATAAAGGCCATATATGACAAACCCACAGCCA